TGCTTTGGGCAGAGCTGTTGTTTTTGTCTTTTTGTTCCTTTATTTACTTATTTATATAGAAACAACATTTGTAGAAAATTAGCAAACAAACAAACAAACAAAAAAAGCCAAAACTAGTCTTTTTTGTTGTGGGTATAAAAACTAGAACAATTAAATTTCCTGTAAGTTTTGGTCAGAGCTGTAGATGAGGGACTAAAGAGCCACATGTGACCCCAGAGCCACAGGTTGCAGACCCCTGACCTAACCTATCCAGTGACTGCTTTATGATAGATTAATTAATATCTGTGCAGTGCTTCATGAGATAATTTGCTAACAGTCTTGTTCACTCATCTATAGAGGGATGAAAACATTGTTGCCTTTTGGCAGTGCATGATAAATATGAAAACCTATGAACACAGCATGAGGCACATAAAAATTACAGAAAAGATTATTGCCATTGTGAAATCCACCATGAGTATAAGTGTCCTTACCATTGTAACCATTGCAACCTAATCAAACTCCAAGATCGTGAACCCAAGACAAGTTAATCCTCCTGTTATGTTGTGGGTCAAATTGACCCAGGAACATCATGGCTGTTCCTCAGAAACAAATACAACAAACAAACAAACAAAAAAATTACCTTTTGTTTATTTTTCTGTCATGTTGCTTTTCACATTTTGTGCTTATAAACAGAATATGTAATGCGCTGTGTCATTATTAGCAAGCTTTACGTTGTTTGCAACAATTCACAGTGATGCATTTAGTTATACAGTGCTGTTTAGTTATAATTAAAACATTTTTTATTTCCCTTTGTGTGCATACATCTTTATCTATATATGATTTTCCACTCAGAATCCAGGGTATGCAGGTCGGCAGGAGCTTCCTGAAAACCTGAAGATCAATTTCCGCTCTGTAGCCATGATGGTTCCCGATCGTCAGATCATCATCAGGGTGAAGCTGGCCAGTTGTGGGTTCATAGACAACATGGAGCTGGCTCGCAAGTTCTTCACTCTTTACAAGCTGTGTGAGGAGCAGCTCTCTAAACAGGTAAACGAAGAAAACTACAATATTCTGTCTGTGCAAGACGTACAGAGGGATGCCAAAATGACACTGGAGAGTTTTCTCAGCTCTACGTCTAGTATGGTCTAATTAAACACAGCGGTATAATATTATAAGTAAATCATGTGATAGGAGAAATGTTCGTTTGTTGCAGGCTGGTGTTTGCATGTGATCGAATACATCAACTGGCTTTGTAGAAAGACACTGGACTTTGACATACAGCAATGTTTTAATTTCTGTTTGTGAGCTGGAATCGGTCTGAAAGCTGCTTGTTATTGTCCAGGTCCACTACGACTTTGGGCTGCGGAACATTCTGTCCGTTTTAAGAACTCTGGGAGCTGCCAAGCGAGCCAACCCTAGTGATACAGAGTCCACCATTGTCATGAGGGTTCTGAGGGACATGAACCTCTCCAAACTGGTCAGTCTTGGAAATTTACAATAACACACCAAGTAGCTATTATAAAGGGTTTTTTTTTTTTTTTTTTTTCTTTTTGGTCCCTCAAGGCAGAGGGAAGAGGGGAATTTGAAATATATTGTCTGTCAACAGCCTTGTTGCTGTTTAACTTGAAAAACAAAAGACAACTTCCATTTTGGTGTGTGGCTGCACCTAGGCTTAAGAAAGTTTCCTATCAAAAATTGGGTCGCTGTCAGGGAATTTGTGGTCAAAGGTTATGGATGTGTTTATTATTATGGCTGAGAACCCTTTTCCCCTCTGCCCTGAGAACAAGAAGCCCAAAACAAGCTGGAACCGTCTCCCAAAACACTATCTTATCTCTGCCCATGAACCACGTGTTTGTATAAATGGAGAGTGCTGTGTAAGAAGATTGCTTCAAGGACACCTCTATGTTGAACTCTGAGCTGTATGGAGTATAAAAACTTTAAACTGTAAAACTAGAAATATTCACTATTCAAATCCCTCAGAGATGATGGACATGGGCGTACCGCTTCATTAATTTAAGGCTAATTGAGCTTTTAAAATTTGAAGGTTAAAAACTAAACAACAAAAATAGGTTAATTTTTCTTGTTTTTATTTTCATTTTTATGTATTGCGGTGATCATAAAATCAAAATTAATTTACAACATACAGTTCTTGACTTCAGTTTTGTGTAACTATGTGTGTTTTTCTGTTTGTTAATAAGATTGATGAGGACGAGCCACTCTTCCTGAGCTTGATTGAGGACCTTTTTCCAGGAATCCAACTCGATAAAGTTGGCTACCCTGAGCTGGAGGTCGCCATTGACAAACAGGTGAGAGGAACAAAAAGTCTGCTTTTCTGTTTCCAAGAAGAAATCAAGCTCCAAAGGAAAAAAGAACTCATGATTTCTAGTGAAACAGACAGAGGGAGCAAGGACACCGGGAAAAGCAAGAAAAAAGTAAAGAGCAGAACAGAAATAAAAAGGCTGAGTAAATTTGGACAAAAGCCTAATGGACTGTAAGACTGCTGTATTTTTCAAGCCATTCTTAAGTACCTCAAGATAAAGCTTCTAATGGAATACAAATGATGCCATTTTTCATTTGTCAAGTAACTACACTAAGTAGCTCTGAGAAACAAAACAGGAAAATGTTATTTCTAAAACATTAGTTTTGTGCTAAGGGCAGCACGGTGGCGCAACTGCTAGAGCTGCTGCCTCTCAGCGAGCAGGTCCTTGGTTCAAACCCCGGTCCAGGGGCCTTCTGGGTGGAGTTTGCATGTTCTCTCCGTGCATGCGTGGGTTTTCTCCAGGTACTCCAGTTTCCTCCCACAGACCAAAAACATGCATGTTAGGCTGATTGGTAACTCTAAATTGTCCCTAGGTGTGAGTGAGAGAGTGAATGGTTGTTTGTCTCTATGTGGCCCTGTGATGGACTTGCGACCCGTCCAGGGTGTACCCCGCCCCTCGCACAGTGATTGCTGGACATGGGCACCAGCGACCCCCGTGATCCAAAAATGGAATAAGCGGGTAAAGATAATGGATGGATGTATAGTTTTGTGCTTTGTTTATTATAAGGCTTTATTTCTGCAATCTGGTTCAGCTCAGGTCATTACACCTGGTGTACACAGTAAATCTTAGGAGTATCATTTAACTGAAACAACAAACCTTTGCTCTTTCAGGTTGAAGATGCAGGTCTCATCAGCCACCCCCCATGGAAGCTGAAGATCATCCAGCTGTTTGAGACTCAGAGGGTTCGGCATGGTATGATGGCCCTGGGGCCCAGTGGGGCTGGAAAGACTGCCTGTATACATACACTGATGAGGGCTATGACAGGTAACAGACACACAAAGGTCAATGTCTGGCTGTTTTAATTGACTTTATGTATTTGGAAGAGACACAGCTCATGTTTGATTTCTTTTGTGTCCATCACAGCATGATGTCGTCTTTTATTCTTTAGTTCCAAATTAGTTTCAGTAGAAACAAAATGTCAGAGATGGAAGAGATGAGTTGATTCAATTTTGTAGCAGTTTAAAAAAATATTTCTATTATATTTATTTTTATATTACACATATTTACTGGTATTTCTATTTGTATTTTATTAAGAAAAACAGAACTTATAAGAAACTGGAGGTTATGAATATAACCAATGTTCCCTGAGGGAGGGAAACGACTTACAACACAGTAGTATGGGGGATTGCGCCCTCGCGAGACCAACCTGAAGAAGTTTCTTTCAACACGCCTGTCAATGCAAATGAGACTGCTGCATATACAGGAGGCCCCGCCCTCTTGGCCTATAAATATGCAGC